TTCGGCACGGTGAAGGAGTAAGGTAATTGAATAATGCAGTGCATAACAATCTACTTCCTTATTTCTTCAGCCTTTCTTCCATACCCTTGATAGCTCTGAATTAATACAGCTATATCGCAAAACAATGTCTTGAACTTTGACATCTGGGTTTCTAATGGAAGTGTGGACTACAGTTCAGGAGCACATTTGGGCATTGGGATCAGGCTGTTATGGGTAGAAACCAATTCTCTAGGACACTATTCAGGTGTTACATCCGTGGCATTTTTGTTCATACAGTCACTTGTAAGATTTAATTAACATTTAATGTGGATGTCCTAGTTTCCATAACTAATTACACAGGCCTTGCAATTAACAATTTCCTTTGCTACATGACTGACTCTTTCCCAGAGTATCTTCACTCTCTGCACTAAATGTGAGAAAAAGTCCTATACAGTATGACTGTATAATTAAAATACATATACTTGAGCAGGATGCTAAGCAAGTGAATGCAGGATGCTATTCACTTTCAAATGCAGTGCTCCTCAAGAGCTTTTTTTAGGGAAGTTTAGGGATAAGAGGGAAGCAGGTTGGGATTATCTTCTAGGGCCAGAGAAAGCTGATTTTAAACTTTGTTCTAGTTTGGCTTATTATCCTGGAAAGAATGCTTTAAACTGCATGTAATGTTAATTTTTGTTTCTTTTTCTATCTTCTTTAGATTGAAGGTTTCTCATTAAACAAATTAACTAATTTCCATCTTAAAGAAGTTGAGAATGATGTTGTGATTTGGGAACATAACCCTGTTGACAATGCTGATTTGCCACAAGAAACTTCCCCTACAAGGGACAAGGTGTGAAATATTTAACATTCCTTTTGTAGTCGTGTAGTAGTTTTTACTGTTCTTGGGGGGGGAAAAAAAACTTATATTTTTGCTCTGGTTTTGATGTTTCAAAACCAAAAGAGGAAATGGAAGATTACATAATTGCTTCATACAAAGCTTGCTATGCTTATCCCTAAGTACCCAGAAGCTGACAGGTATTACTTCAAGTCTCTTTGATAAGGCCCTGGGTTTTAATCTGTTAAGGGAGAAAATATAGACTTTGAATTTATTATTTATATATATATATTTATTTATAGAATTTGAAATTTATTTCAAATTAAATCAAGTGTATGATTGTATTTCATCTTAGTTTTGAACTATTCTTACACATCTTTTATTTCACAACTACTCTGCAACCCCTAGTGTTGTTCTCTAATGACATTTTGCAGCAGTTAGCAATAAAATTTAGAATCTGTAATCTATTTTGTGCTGTTTCCTTGGAAATTTGTAAATTATAACAAAGACACATAACCAATTGCTATTAATCATTGACACTATTCTTCAGCTATTGCTGAGTCTTTTATTTTGATGTCTTATAATAAGAGCTTATGGTATCTCATCCTTTTTTGCAGGTGTTGCAATTGCTGTGTTACAGAAGTAGTTATGAATTTTATAATATCACTTTACAGATAGGACATGAAGAAATCAAACTAAATGATATTGTTTGCAAATGCATGTTCTACATAAGCAGATTTTTTTTTTACGATCTGAATATCTGTATATGCATTAAATATTAAGGGTTTTTTTTCTGTAATTGACAGGTTCCCTTAGTATTTGATTCAGTACAGAAATGTTCAGCACCTGTAGGGCAACTTTGGGTAGAACTGCTTCGTTTCTATGCCTTGGAGTTCAATATGGCTGATTTGGTTATTAGCATACGACTGAAAGAAATAGTGTCGCGTGAATTGAAGGACTGGCCTAAAAAGCGCATAGCTGTGGAAGGTATGTTGTATCAACAGACTTCATAGAACTGTTGCCATTAACTTTCCAGGGTATTGTCTTTGCTGTTGAGATAAAGTGCAATAACTTTGGATTTTTTAGCTTTGAACTGCTATTCCCAGCAGTGTTGTAGAATGTTTTTAAAAAAATCAGTTTGGGGTGGTGTTATCAGAAGCAATGTGAATGATGTAGCTGGCCTTAAAAAAAATAAAATAAATTGTCTTCAGTTGTATTCATACGTTCCTAGGCAAATGTTCCTAGGCATTTTAGTGTAACTAACAATACTATATTTGAATTTTTTGAAGTATCTAAGTATATTACTTTTTTAAAAGTTAACCTCTGCACTGCTGGCTTACTTTTTCTTTCTACTAGACCCATATTCGGTCAAAAGGAATGTTGCAAGAACTCTGAACAGCCAGCTAATGTACGAATACATTCTTCACTGCTTGAGAGCAACTTACAAGTATTTTGCTTTACCTCACAAAAAACCTGTGAAATTGAGAAAAAAGTCCCTTCCAAATGCCAACGAGGAGGAGTCTGTAAAGCTGGACAATGGAAGTGACAGTGTAAAGCCTGACAATTCTGAGTTGCAAAATGTCAGTGGTATAATTAACACTGCAGTAGTGGAAGGTTACGTAATTGAAACTACAGATATTCCTCAGGTACATGGAACTTTTCCTTCAAAGGTGTGTGATGGCTCAGAGAGCGTGACAGAAGAAGAACTGGCTGATGATACAAGTCATTTGGGAATTGTTCAAGAAGATTCAGACTGCATAGTTGAAGAGGTTATTTCTGGAGATAATGAGGGCTTTAAACCAAGTTGTGAAGAGATGGAGAGTGGAAATGAGGAGGAGGAGGAAGAAGAAGAAGAACAAGAGCAAGAAACAAGATGGAATAATATCTTGTCTACTGATCAGGGAATAGATGAAGACAGTGATGGTGGAGATCTCCCTGTAACAATGACAGATCATGATATAGAGACATGCAGTACTTCAGACTTGGAAGGTTTTCAAATAACAGCATTTACAGAGAGTGATGAGTTTGGCTTGGAGTGCACGGGCATAATGGATAACAAGATCGATGCTGATGAGGAGAGTACTGAAGGTACTGATGAACTCGAGGAATCCCCCCAGAAGTTCATACATTCAACAAAGAATCAACTGGCTGAAGTGATTAACTCAGAGGAGGAGGAAGAGGAGGAAGAATTGAGTCTTCTAAACCAGGCAGCATGTGGTGGTATCCTAACAACCAAAGGTGAACTAGACAATATATACCCTGGATCTGGAGATGAGAATGCCCTGTCGGAGGAAGATGATGATTTGTCCATCATTAATAAATATGAAGAAAACCGTTTCAAAGACAACATTCACGGATCTCTGAGGATCAGTTTCAGTCAAGAGGATCTTACTGAGAAGGGAGATCTTTGTGAAGAGAATGCAGTGGTAGAAAAGTGTTTAGAATCTGAACTCTTTTATGAATTTAGTAAACAAGCTTTTACAAAAGGCAAGGTAAGCGAGCTTTAACAGAATGTGCACATGTTGTTTATGCTCTCTGATTAGTTATATGAAAGTACTGTTCAACTTCGTTAAGGGGTTATGCTTTTTGAAACCAATTTTGCTTTCTGTTCATGCAGTCTCCTACAGTAGTGTGTAGCTTGTGCAAACGGGAAGGTCACTTAAAACGAGATTGTCCAGAAGACTTCAAGAAAATTGAGCTGGACCCACTGCCACCTCTGACACCCAAGTTTTCAGTTATTCTAGATCAAGTTTGTGTCCAGTGTTACCGTAAGTTTTTCTCCTTTACATGCTATTATGGGGAAGAAAAAAAAGAAAAACAATTGCAAAAATCAATGACACAACCAGAAGCTATTATTATAAAGGTGTCTAGTTTATTTGCTGCACTGGCTACAGTATGACTGTACTTTATAAGATTTGTAAGAATACGGTAGGACTGTGTCTAGAGTTTATATCTTGAGAAATAAAAAATATTTAGGTTTGCCTCTGTGGCAATGGCTGTCTGACAACTAGTTTAGGAATCTTAATATAAATCTAAGAGTTTGTTTTATGGTGGAGTGTTTTGACTGGTGCTTTTACATTAAAAATTCAAGTAACGATTCTCAACAAGACTTCAGTGTTCTTGAAAAATTCAAATCAGAATACTGTTTTATAACACTTCTCCACTTTTGTTCTTTTCAGAGTGGCCCAACTTTCTTCCTTTCTCTCTCGCCATTTCTGACCAGACAAAATGCATTATTTGTCTAATTAATGTTTTTCTTTGAACAGGTATTTCCCTTCTACTTCATCCTTGTTATCGTTCCCTCACATTTGAATCTTCTGCTTTTCTCTCCCCCTTACTATGCTCCCCTCCCTTTTTCATTTCAATCTTTGTTGTTGACTCTTTTTACAGATCAGTTTACCTTAACTGTTTGTTTGTTCATTTTTAAAGAGGATTTTGCTCCAAATATTATAGAGGATCAGGCTCGGGAACATATAAGACAAAACCTGGAAAACTTCATTAGACTGGAATTCCCAGGTGATTAAGTTCTGCCTTTATATTCATGCTTTGATGTGTTCATATTTAAGTGTTTTCCAAGAAAACATGTCAAGTCAGCATAATAAACATTTTAGTTTTGAGCATTTGATCTGTATTGTTGTTTATTGTATATCTTCTGTTACAATGGTCATATTATTAACATATCTTAATGTCTCAGTTTTGTGTATGATGCCCTGGACTTTCTTCCTGTTGATATGAATTTTACTTCTTTTAACAAAGAAGAAAGACTTGAAAACTAGGTTAGTTGTGTGGTTTGTTTGCTTAAAGAAACTAAGAAAAGCAATAGCTTCCCCATAGATTTTATTTTAACCCTTCTGTGACTTTATCATGCATAAGAATGCATCTGTACAAAGGAACAAGGGCAAGTTAAAGAGAAAATAAAAGCAGTAGGACAGTTTCAAGACAGCTGTTTTAGCTTCATTCATTAACCAGGCTTCTCATTATATCTCCTTTAAAAAAAAAAAAAAAAAAAAGGCTTTTTTGTTTTTAAGAATTCTGGTAGGGGTCTTGATTTCAAGGTTAAAGAACAATTTTTTAGTTTACATGCATGTTTCTGTGTTTTCATCACTACTCTCTTTATACTTACCAAGACATGGAAAACTTGGTAATGCCTCAAAGTTTGTCTGTCTGTCTATATGTATGTGCACTTGCATACATACATTAGTCTATATGTTTGCATATATATACTTCTTTAAATTTCTTATAGGGACAAAAGCATTTGATCCATAATGTTCCTGCTACAGATTATCGGCATTGAAATGTTTTTAAATTTTGGCTTTTTCTCGGATCTTGGCTGTATTAAACTGTTGTTTTCTTTCTGGATTCTTTTATATGTAGGACTTGGACTTCAGAGGTGCCTTATCTCAAAGATCTCTTGTAGAAAGCAATCCTATTTTAATCTGGTTTCAGTCCTGGCCCGAATGCTTAACTTGGGAACACCAAATTTGCTTCTGTCAGACTTCTCACTTTAGCTAATAAAAGCAGAGATCATTTTGAATTTGATAGGAACTAAGTTTTAAAGTAACATAAAAATCACTAGTGTTTTCATGCCTGTATTAAAAAGCATGCAGTGGTTTCAAGCTTTTGTTTGTTAACATGTGATTATAACCCATCACATCTCTTACAGGAACAAAGCTGAATTTGTTTGGCTCCTCAAAAAATGGCTTTGGTTTCAAACAAAGTGATCTTGATATCTGTATGACGATGGATGGGTTGGAAACTGCTGAGGTAGTTTGACAAGATTTTTTTTCCAGTGAATGCAAACTTTGTACTGTATGTATGTTGTAGCTTTATGAAAGCTTTTCAGATAGAGGAAAACACAAGTAGGTGTGACAAAAGAAGGTGGCGTTACCTTTTTTTGTTACTGATCTGTGCATGAGTTTAAGAACCTCAGTTCTTCATAAACAGTTTTCTTCTGAATTAGGGTGCTAGCATAATTTCTAGTATTAGCTGTGCAGATAAATAACATTTTTTTTAGCACGAGCAACGATGAATGGGAAACAGTGGAACATGAAATGAGTCTTTCATGTATAAAACAAAACTTTTAAAAAGCCTGTATTGAGGTACTGTCTGTCTAGTGCTGAGGTTACAAGTGCTATTTTGAAACAATTTCTGGTGTATACCTAATTGTTTTATATGAAACCCAGTTACGTAACTTTAAACTTAAATAGCAACTAATAAAAGATTTGTTTGAACACTTGTAGCAGGTATTATTTGAGTTTTGACTTTTTTTTCTTACTGTCTTAGGGACTTGATTGTATCAAAATTATTGAAGATTTAGCAAAAGTTCTCAAGAAACAGTCAGGTAATTAAACATTGAAATAAGTTATTCTGTTTATGGCTTCAGTTGATACGTGAAAATTTTGGGCCCTGTAGATGGAAAGTCATGAAATTGTTGTATGAGTTTAATATTGATAACTAAGAGATTATGTTGTGGACTTTTGTATTTATTTATATGTGTAGGTTTCTGAGTTATAAAACTGCAACTGAATTGGGCAGATTCATAACCTTAATGTGTAAAAATGAGCCTTAAGTTGAAGGTTGAGGCTTCATGTTAGTAGCTGTATTGTATTTTTGCATTTAGTGCCTAGTAGTGTAATGATAAAAGGTAGCCTAATACAAGCTTGAAGTAGTCCTGCTTGATCTACAAGAGAAACAGTTTTACAGTGCTTGTGTTGGTTTATCTCGCATGACTTTAACATAGAGTGAATCGTAAACAACCTCCTAAGTTTATTTTGCTGTTACATTTGGACTAATCTTTGTTTCATTGAGGGGGGAGGGCATAACTATATTTGTATATGTAATATGTAGTATTCATAATTCAAAGTGTTTGGCAAATGCCTGAAGTCATTTAATAATCATGTATTACTGATACAATTTTGATATCAACTAAGATTTTATTGTGTAGCATTCTTATTACAGTTTGGGATTATTTGGAGAGTATTCCATACTGTTATGACTGTATTGTAGACATTTAGTAATGAAATATTTCCTCCTAGGTCTACGAAATGTCTTGCCTATAACAACTGCTAAAGTCCCAATTGTCAAATTTTTCCATGTCAGAAGTGGTCTTGAAGTAGACATCAGTTTATATAACACTCTGGTAAGGTTATCTGGTTTTTAGCAATAAAATGCGGGGCTGCTTCTTGGGAATGAAATAATTGTTTTGTCTAGGTTCAATTATAAGTGGTTCCAGTTCTACTCCAGTTTTAAATTTCCAAGCACAGATGAGTTATTTTTGACGTGGTGCAATCAATTGTGCAATCAAGACTTCAGTGTTAATACATCTGTAAGACAAGATAGTAGTTCTTCAGTAATGATAAGTGATAGTGTTTAATTCTTTCTGTGAAACAGACAATAATATAACTTCACAATTCCCATCACAAGTCATACTTAGCTTTTGAGGCTTGGGATAGTAACAGGAATCCAGCTTGCCTGGACTAGAATGCAACACAATTTAGAAAAAAGTCATTGGCCAAATATTTTAAAAAGAAGTATCATTTGTTTTTTTCCGATGTTTTGTACATCAATAGGCAGCTCCTTGCAGCATTGAAGGAAAGTGAGTTTTAGAGCCAAGCATTAAGCTTTCTGAAGCTTCTGTATGAGTCTGAGGGGAGCCCAAGTAGAGAAGGATACCTCAACTACAAAATCTAAAAGTGTGTACTTGAAGTTTTGCATCCCCATGGGTAATTTGATAGCTCTCACTTTTCTGGAATGAAATCTCTTAATTCAAGAATTAACCTCCTACCATATATTTTGAAAATGCAGTAATAGATGAATACTTCACTTTCTGAAGTAGTGTTCTGTGAATTCTGCTTTATAGCAACTCTGAGAAGCATGAGTTGTTTGTTAGCCTTTCAGTAGAGTAGTAGTGATAACCTCACTGTTGAATGTTTCCTTTCTCAATATACATTCTACTATGCGGGGCTTAACTGTTGAGCTCACAGCTCTACAGGCTGTTAACACAAACTCAGTAAGTAAATTAAAATTGAAGAAGTATGCATGTGAACTCTGAATCTACAGTGCTCTGAATCATTCGTTGTCTTCTCTTGACTAAAAACATTTTATGTGTTTTCAGCTCATTCCCTCAACTTCTTCAGACCTCCTTTATTTCATATATGGATTTCTTATTTTCATAGGCCTTGCATAATACAAGACTTCTTTCATCATATGCAGCCATTGATCCTCGAGTGAAATATCTGTGCTATACGATGAAAGTTTTTACAAAGGTGAGTTTTTTGGGCATTCAGGATGAGGTAGTACCTGCACCATGAGGTGATGATCATAAAAAAAATGTAATTTGTGTTCCTTTTTGTAGATGTGCGACATTGGAGATGCATCTCGTGGTAGCCTTTCTTCTTATGCGTATACTCTTATGGTGCTTTATTTTCTTCAACAGAGAAATCCACCTGTCATCCCTGTTCTTCAAGAGGTACAGTATATCAATAAAGAAACCAGTACCTGTACACAGTATTGATCAGAAGAATGTTAGTGTTGTTCTTAAAGGCTTTTCTATTGAATTTAATACTATGTTTTCAGATCTACAAAGAACCAAAAAAGCCTGAAATTTTAGTTGATGGTTGGAACGTTTATTTCTTTGATAAGATAGAAGAGTTGGTGAGTAAAAAATGAAAAAGAATTCATTTTAAGAAATGTTCTCAGACATGTTGATTGAACACAGTAGTGGAACTGAAGTAGCTACTGCTTTATAAATTGAAATGTGAACTTTTAAGAACATGGTTCTATTCAACCCAGCAGTGCAAGCATCTGTACATTGAAAAAGAAGCAAACAAAAAAAATCCACTGCATAACCTGAAAAAAGTAGTTTTAAAATAAATTGCTTTCAGATGTTGATGATGATTAATCATTATGTGCATCACGTTACTGAGCAGAGAATTTCTTTTAAATATTAATTACGCTTATGGCCATAGTAGGTTAAACCTATTGAATAATTTGGAATTAAGTGAGCATTTACAGTGAATTAATAAAGGCAAAACCTGATGTTAAAAGTTCTGTTGAAGTTTAAAGACATGCTATTATAAAATCAATAATTGGGTTCTTAGTGGCAGTTTAGAAAGAAAGTATCCTGGAGTAACTGGATTGTGTTGGATTTGAAAGTTATTAAGTTATTCTCTCCAGTGTAAGTGTAGAAAATAAACATATTTCTGTCATTTTCAGCCAGTTGTTTGGCCTGACTTTGGCAAAAACACTGAATCTGTAGGGCAACTGTGGCTGGGACTTCTTCGTTTTTACACTGAAGACTTTGATTTTAAAGAGCATGTCATCTGCATTAGGAGAAAGAACCTGCTTACAACTTTCAAGAAGCAGTGGACATCCAAATACATTGTTATTGAAGGTAAAATCACATAATGTACATCCCTATATGGAATTTCTTTAATGTCCACATGAAAAACTTGGTCATTCTGTGTTGGCTTATTTAGTTTTCTGTTAATAGATTACAAGTTGCTATTTTGTTACATTTTAAGTCTTCATAAAATTCCCATTCATTTTCAGTGGAGCTAAAAATTATTCTTTTTCTTCCCACCTGCAAAAAAGCTGCAAAGCAGAAATCATACTTGTGAGATTTTCCCACTAATAGTAAGGTTAGCAGAGTTCATATTTGAATGACCATTTTAATGTTGTATATGTATTACACTGTTAACGCTAAGATCTCTATTAGGAAAATGCAGTGATACATTTTAGAAATGTTCCATAAGTCATTTTCTGGGCCAAGTGACTTTCACAGAAAGAACTTCTACTGTCTTGCCCCACATACAACTTAAGCATATTCTTTTATAGAACCACAGAATATTCCGATTTGGAATGATAGGGATCACAGAGCCCAGTTTCTGGCTCCAGATAGGACCTACCAGAATTCAAGCCCTATCTCTGAGAGCATTCTCCTTATGCTTCTTGAACTCTGGCAGGCTGGGGCCATGACCATTGCTCTGGGGAGCAGATTCCAGGGTTTGACCACCCTCCAGTGAAGAACATTTTCCTTATCCCCAACCTGACCTTCTCCTGATGCAGTTCCATGCCGTTTCCTCAGGTCCTATTGCTGTCACCAGAGAGAAGAGATCATCATCTGCCCCTCTGCTCCCCTCATGAGGAAGCTGTAGGTCGCCATGAGGCCTCTCTTTTGTCTCTTCTTCTCCAGACTGAAGAATCGAAGGGACCTTTGTCACTTCTCATACACTTTGCCCACCAGGCTGTTCATCACCTTTATAGCTCTCCTTTTGACATTCCCTTGTAGCTTTATGTTCTTATATTGCAGTGCACAAACCTGCACACAGTGCTCGAGGTGATGCTGCAAAAGTACAGAGCAGAGTGGAACAATTCCTTCCCTTGACTGTCAATCTATACTGTGCCTAATGCGCCTGGGGCTGCTTCATTCACTTTTCATCTCACTAACGTGATCCTTTGTCCATGAAGTTAATTTATTTTCCAGAAATTCACAAACAGTTTAATTTTAGTGCATTAATTCTGTTTTCAAAACAGTTGTCTTGGGTTGTTTGTGTGTGTATGTGTGTATATATGTGCATATAAATATTTATATCTCTAATGCTTTCCATACAGACCCCTTCGATTTGAACCACAATCTTGGAGCTGGATTATCAAGAAAAAGTAAGTTTCCTGTTGAAAAACTTGGATATTAAGTGACAATTCTTGTTTTACTGGCTTGTTTGATGTTCACATGATGTTTTCTCTTTTTTTGTGTGTGTTTCCCTAGTGACAAACTTTATAATGAAAGCTTTTATAAACGGCAGAAGAGTATTTGGTACTCCTGTAAAAATATTTCCTAAGGAATATCCATCAAAAATGGTAAGCTGCTCCTAAGGGCATCATATGCATGTTTTTCATTGTGTAACTCACTTTTAAGAACATGGTTGTGGTCTCTTAATGCTTTTCTTAATTTCAGCAGTGCTCTTATAAATCCTTGAACTGTTATTACTGAGTACTTTTTTTCATATTGTTTGCCTATAAAATGTGGGGGCATACAAAATACTGATCAAGGGAGATATTCATTATGTAGGCTTTTAGACAGTTCAGCCTCCTTCAGAAAAGCTTAGGGTTTTTTAAGACTGGTTTAAGAAAGAATGTTGCACACCTGGTAGTCAGCCGGCTGCCTGTGGGGAAGAGCAAGCAGTGGACGATTTTATCTCGTTAGATCTGTCAGGACTGTACATAAGCAAAATTTCAACAACTTACTTATCTGTTTTGATTGCCCAGTGTATGAACTTGTAATTTATATGCATCTTTCTTTTTTTTCAGGAGTACTTCTTTGATCCAGAGGTACTGACAGAAGGAGAATTGGCACCAAATGATAGATGCTGCAGAATTTGTGGTAAAATTGGCCATTTCATGAAAGATTGTCCTATGAGAAGAAAGTGAGTATAGTTTTGGGATCTCTGTGATCTATTTCCTTAGAAGGAAGATTAGAACAGGGATGCTAAAGCTGTGCATTCACAGCTATATTCCATACGGCATTCCACAAAGCAGAAATCAATTAAATTCTGCATTTATGAAAATAAGTGGTATAAGACTGATGTTTCTTCAGTCCTTTGTCCAGCCATTGCAATAGGAGATGCTCTTTATGACAGGTACACTAGTTGGCTGTCTTCTGGGGATCTCTTCTCTTGCATTCATTTGGTTTCATAAGCACTACATAGGAGGATTAATGAGTATTGATAATGCCTGGATGAGATTTGAAGTCACAGTTGTGTTCATCTTGTAGCTTCTTGCCAAATTAGTGTCTGTGCCCTTTTTAGTAATTGCTCCTTCATTTTACCTGCCTTTCTCTGTACTTTCTGTCACTGTACTACCTCCTTCTTAAAGTATTCACATTAGACTAACACAAAGTACGTAGCTGGAGGCACGCCATAGTTTTACTCAGCACAAAAAAAAAGTCCTTTCTGTATTGTTCTTGATATGTTACCTGATGATGCAGATATTCTGGTAAACTTCTTGGCTACTACTGTTAGTCAGTTTTTCTTTTCTTGTTTGTATTGGAGTGGGGGTTTTGTTTGTTGGGGTTTTTTTTTTTAGTAATTCTTTAAAATGATTCCAAGATACTTCAGGTCTATTTTTAGGTCTAATTGCCAGCTTTCCTTTGTATATTGTATAGCCATGGTCTAGATTATTTTTGCCAGGATGCATTATTTACAATTTATCTATGGTGAAGTTTGTCTGCTATCATTTTGTCAGTTTATTCAGTTTTGTGAGTTTGAAGAAGTTTTCTTGTCATTTGTGCTGCATCTGACTGAGCAAAGGAGTCTGTTAGCATCAGACACTGATTGTTTCTTCTCCAGTTCATAAATAAACAAGTAAAATGAAACCAGATCAGTAATGGCACCCAGGTCCTCACTGATACGTCTTTAAGTCACTTTGAATGCTAGAAGCATCTTCCTTTATACGTGATTTGTAGAGAGAGTGAATATATGCCATTTTGGAAGAAAGGTAGATTTCTCCTGGAATGGTACAAGAAGTAGAATGAGAGCTCTATTTTTATGTGCTAGAATTTAATTTGGTGTCCTTTTTCTTCCACTGTCATTGCAGCTCCAGCAACAAGATCTTCACGTTGATGCATTCGTATTTTAGAGGGGAAAAAAAAATAGAATTTCAGCTGTATTGTAATCAAATTGTGAAGTTAATAATATGTATATCATAACAGTGTAGAACTGTTTCTTAAAAGAGCCAAAGGCATTTAACTTTATTTAACCCACTGAAGAAATACATGGAGTCCATTTATAGGCTATATGCAGTGTTTGTGTTTTTATCTTTAATGTATATAAGACATATGAAATCTGCAGCCTTTTCCTCTTGCAGACTGAGGCGACGACGTGATTATGAAGATAGTAAAAACCAGAGGTACACAGAAAACAAAGAGAAAAGCAAAGAGGACAAAGAAATACAGAACAGAACAACAGAAAAAGAAAGCTCTGTCAAGGAGGGGAAATTGCATCTATTTACACCTCAGAAGAGCAAAGTAGCAAGGGGAATAGTGGAAACTGGAAAAGAACGGTCTCCCAGGCAATCAGCAGAGAAGTGGAAGCGACAAGAAGACAGAGAGTTAAAAGAAAAGCGTTGTTTTATCTGTGGAAGAGAAGGTCACATTAAAAAGGAATGCCCACAGTATAAGGTAGCTGCAGGTATGAAACTCATCAAGCTGAGTAGTTTAAGCAGAACTTATGGTTACAAAGTTCATTAACGGCTAAATATTTTTCCTTTGAATGGCATTCACATAAATGCCAACTTTTTAAAAATAGAATCAGACATGATCAGTTTCCCCTTTACTTTCACCTATCTTTCAAAACTGTTGTGTCCTGAGAATTGAGATGGTTTCTCTTAGCAGGCCAGGAGGTAACAGTAGAAAGTGGAGAGTGCCTACTGTGTTGAAATTGCTTCTGTTGTCTTCACTGCTATTGTTGGCTAACATTTCAATATACAGCTTCTATTTCAGCACCTGGTAATAGCAGTAAAAGCTTATAGCTCCTTCCCATCATGTAAAATAGACCTCTTTCATAAGGACCTCAAGATCACTGAAAATAAATTGCTCAGATAAAATATTTTGAATGGGAAGAAATAAAGAATGTTCTTCCTAACTCAGTAAGATGGTCGATAAAATAATCTGCCTTATTTTTCTTAGAGTTATTTTGCAACTTCGAGTTAAATAAAATTTAAAAAAAAGCACATGAAACTACAGTAATTGCCTGAAGATAGAACTTGACTGACAGACTTGAAAACAGTGAACTGCTAAGCAGTATCTAAGTCATCCTTCACATTAGACAGATCTCTAGTCATCTTTATTGTAGGAAAATCACTCTAATAAAAATGCAACTTCTTGGCATGGTGCATGGTACTTTCAGCTAGCTTACAAACGAACACAGTATTACAGTTTCCCCCTAAGTCTAGAAGCATTTATATACACACTACAGAAAAAAGCTGTACAGTTTGCTCATTACTTGACATCTCAAAATGAAGTACAGGAATCCTTTGCATACACAGTTTCAAATAATCTCTACTAGAAAAATGTTCTTTCTGGCTCAGATAGGGAAACTCTTTTAGCCAGATGTTTTTGATAGAATAAGGCATAAAGTTGCACTACCAGAATACTGGAAGCAGTAAGAAAATGGTTGCAAATGTGCTCAGAATTTTAAGGATATTTGCAAATGTTCTTAATTGATTACTAATAGAATTGGGTGGATGAAAAAGATGTTTATAAAGAGAAGCCACATTTTATTAGGCTTTTGAGAGTTTGAAGATGCATGTCAAGTCTAAACTTAACTTTTGAATTTATCTTTGAGCATTTTTTGCCAAGATTATGTTTGCCATCATACTGAGTTTGCTGAGTTGAAAAGGAATATACTTGACTGTTTTGTGGTTGCTGAGGGGAATTATGGGTATTTTGGGAATCAGTATATTTGTAGAGAAGGAGAATTGATCTAGGGTGGACTTTTTGCTTGTCTGGTGCCTGAAGTGTTCTCTGTAGTTCTCTGGGCCCAAGAGGTTTTGTGACTTACTGTGCTATACACAAACACTTTGTGGGACCTTGATCAACTCACTTAACCCAATATCATCATTCATTTTCTGAAGGTTCCTGTCTCCTTGTATAGGTTTGGGAATCGGGGTTTCTAGCTTAAACACTTAACTATGGATGCATCTCATTTCATTGTGCCCATTTTTCTATATGATATAAAGGCGGAAAACAGAAATGTCTTAAGTTCTCTGTGCTATGAAGATAGAATGCAAGTATCTTTCTAGTTTTTGTACCTTAGGATATCTGAGATGAAAAGTAGTTTCAAAATAGTAAGTCTTTGCTATATTACAACTTTTTCAGGAGGTTCAAAACCAGAAATGTTGTGTGGATCCCCTTTACCTCCAACTGCCAAACATGCTGGTCGATTAAATCAGGTAAATGTTAAGTGCTCTTTTTCCTGGATCTCTTTAAATATTCTGAAACCCTTGTAAAGGAACTTAAAGCTGTTCTTACTTAAGCTTTCAAGGAGAACATGTGTAATATGTAATTCAGTTTTTTAGGTTCATCAGTATATGTATGTTGTTTATAGGGAATGGTTACACATGAAGAAAAAAAGAAACAAAAAGGAAAAGTACTTTTGAGTCCCCAGACAGGTTTGTATCTCTTTCTTTCAATTCAGAAATTCAGTGTGAAAGCATGCATTTTCACCTTACTTTCTCAGTCTGTATGGAAACTCTGCCTAACTTGCTAAACGCAGCAGCAGTCTGAATAGGTTGCCAGATAATTCTGAAACCACCTTTTCTTTCTTTTTTTTTTTTTTAAGCTGGAAAAGCGCATTTTTTTATTCGTGTTTTGGGAACAAAACTTATAAGGCATGTCAATTCTGTCAGCCATTTGTTCTTTATTTAACTCTGATAGATTTATTTTGCAGAAGGATCTGGTGTTTTATCAATCTCTCTCTTCTCTCCCTCTGTTTTGGCATACATGGGGTTCTGTGTTTCTCTTCAGGAGCAACATGTGGAGCACTTTCTTGTGAGGCTTCCTCAGAATAATCATCTAGAATTCCACATGATCAGCTAACTTAAGAGAGACTATGAAAGCACATCCTTTGATCTGTCAAAATGCGAGAAAGTTAAAATTACACTTACAAGTAGCAGACAGACGATGACATAAAGGCCTTTGTATACGCTCTCTGGATCAGAGACATTTTGTGCACTGTGTTAGATGCATGGTTGCCACTGCAGCTTCCTTACAGAAATTTCACACATTTAACTTGTTAACTGTCACAATGAAGATTTTTCAAGTAACTGTTTTTTTGTTTTTTAATTACTTTGAGTTTTGTGTGCAAGTGCAAACCATTTAGCAGCTTGGGTTTTTCCATGGAATACATAGATCTCTTCTGGGGCATCTGAAGGGAGATTTGAGAAGTCTTAGCAAACTGCTATTAAATATCTCTGTAGGTTTTCAGTTTTATGTGGGGTGGGGAAAAAAGTCAAGACTTCTTTGAAGCTGAGTTTGGGAAATTAAAAAAAAAAAAAAAGCAGTTTGTCCCCAGGCATTTATTTGGAAAAAAAGTAATCTCTTCTGTATTATAATATTTCCTACTGTCCTCTAGCAGCTGATATTATAAAGTTGATCTTGTGTGCTTTCGTTGCAGTTCAACTTAACAGTAATTTCTTCTTGTTTTACTTTTGTTTGTTTGTTTCTGTCTATGGTGGTGGTAGTGGTGGTTATTGGGTTGGGATTTCTTTGTGTTTTGTTTTGATTTGAAACCTTTAAGCTTTTAAAGTGTGATGCTTTTTTTCCCCCCCTGATCTCAGGCAGCCTTTCCAATAGATATATGACTCAGGGAAAAGCCTCACAGAAGAGGACCCAGCAAGAATCATGAGGGATATGAAGCACTGTTAAATTGCAATACAGTTGCAATTTACTTCATTCTTATACTTAAAAACTTACTTTGGCTAAAGCATCTGGATTCACAGGACAGCAGCATAAATAATCTTCAACTTAAAACACCCATGTTTCTTTAACCTTACTTTAGATTGCTAATAAAGGATTTTAATATGGTGTCATACCATAGACCCCTTGCTCCTAAATAGATTGTCTGAGCATTTTAATAGAAAGCCATGATGTTTTGTATTTGTTTACTAGGTAAATCATATAGATAAATGCAGGTACTGAAAATGGACCAAGGTTTTGTCATTCAGCCTGAGCATTTTAAAATGCACTAAAATTGTTGCAGGCCAAATAAATGTATTTTCTTCAAAATATGATTTTTTTGAAGGAGCAAATATTATTTATATATGTTGATTGTTAATGAATATTTGTGTAAAAGTGTTTGAAATGCTTGTAGACTGTGCTTGCAAACAGGTTTTTGTGGTGTTTTTATTTTCCCCGTGTAGAGGACTGAAAACACAGTCACTAGTAAACATATGTTAAAGCTGTCTCTGCAGTAAAGCAGTACCAGTGAGATTTTTAGTTTTTTGCCCCTTTGATTTTATGAAATTTAATTTGCTGCTGTGCTTGTGTATAAGGAAGGAGAAGAGAGGGAAAAAAAAAGAAAAAAAAAAAAAAGAAAAAAGAAAAAGAGACAACTAAGAAACAGGTCAGTCCTGTTTGATGCTGCTAAGAATCTTTTTCATTATCTTGGGGATACAGACATAACTGCTTTATGGAATAGAGAAATGATATATGGCATCTGGGGAAAACACATGTGCATTTTCATAAAATGTGAATGGGATCCTTGGACCAGCCAAGAATTTAAGTAGGTTTATCAACTTGAGCTTTACTTGAAGTCCTTCCAGAGCTGGTAGTGTACTCTGTCTTGTTCAGGAAATAATTACATGGTAAAATTGAAACCACTGTTATTTATGACTTTGAAATAAATAAATAAAATCAAAATCCAGAATTACGTTTCTGTATTTCTTCTTAAGTTGTACCTTTCAGTATTCCTGACTTAAATGTGGAATGAATCATTAATTTATTGGAATGATCTGTTTAATAAAATGCTATGCTTTTTTTTTTTTCCTTCACCTGTTTTTCGCTAAATGTGAAGGTTAGAATTTCCAAAGTGACCTTAGGAAGCTAACTCCTATTTTTTTTTTTCTTCATCAACATGAAGCTAGCTATCTTTATATTTCTAGATGTTTTATCTTTCTCCCAAAAGATGTTGTTTTTCTTTACCTATTTCCAATCTTAGCCAGCTTCACAAATGGGAAACCATTCCAATTTTGTTCTCTATAGCATGTTATTCATATAATTTCAAGCATTTTTTTTCCCTGAGATTTTCTTCTATACTTCCACATTCATACCCACAAAATTCACATGCAGGACATTTGTATGCCTCATATATATTTTATTTAGCCTTCTGTTCTGTTGATGAGAACAAAATGTATACACCTCTAAGAGACTACAGCATAATGTTATAGATAGAAGATATTTTTAAAACTAAATAAATCACATTTATGCTACTCAGCACCTTCGCATTGAGATATTTTTTAGTTTTATAGTGAAGCTTTCAAGTGTGAGATTTCTAAAGTCAGTTCTAAATCCTACAGATTACACTTCCAACCTCCAACTCACTCTGAAAATACCTCTTACTTCTGTGGAAACTACAGCAAAGAGTACATTAGCACTGTTTGATAGAGAAATTCTCAGTTACAAAACACTCTTGTCAAAAGTCACTGTCATTAGCTGTGCATTTTCATTGGCAAGTAGGGTTTTGTTGCCACGCTTATAAAGATGTGCACCAGCAAAGGTGGCTTGCTGTTGTCACTGCTGAAATACACCGCATGCCTCACCGTGCTCACTTCCACTGCCTGGTCTCCATAAACATTCAGCAAGCACTGCTGAATGTCAGTGGGTGCATTTTTCTGCATGAAGGATTTCAGTCACACACCTTTATGCAAGGGGGTAAAGCAAACAGTACTGACAGAAAAACTGGTTGCATTTGCACGCTTGCTTCCAGCTTGTACATAACAAGTGTTGCTGACTAAGGCCTCAGGCTCATAGAGCGTCTAAGGCCTTCCATCTCTGAGATCACCAATTCCAACATCAACCCATCAGCAGTATGCCCAATAACCATGTCCCTGTGTCTTAGTTTGAGCTGGGATGGAGCTCTTCAGAGCACCTGGTTCTAGGAGAAAAACTGATAGCACACTGATACTTATAGTTGCTGCTAAGCAGTGTTGCACAGAGCCAAGGCCATTCCCAGCAAAGATCCCAAGGATCTGGGAAGGTGCAGAATCAGGACAGCTGACTCAAACTGGACAGAGGATTATTTTGTAGTGTATAACCTCGTGGAAGGAGTTTTGAAGGCTATGAAAATTCATCACTGCTTTTGCTGTTCAGGGGTCTAGCTGAGCGTAGGTCGGAGGGTGGTGGAGGCCTGTGCAGCACGTCTTGTACATGCTCATGTATACATAAATATATGTGTATATAGTCATAAGCGTTATCCTTTTCTCTATCTTAGTGAACAGTTCGATTTCAAACTACTTTCTTTTTTTCCAGTTCTCTCTATCCTTTTGGGAAGGGGGCAGTGGGCAGATGAATGCCTGGTGCTCAGTCATCTGCTGGATAAAAGCACAATACCCTCAGTACCACATCCACACGATTCTTAAATACCCCCAGGGACAGTGTCTACCATCCCCCTAAGCAGCTCATTGCAACATCTCACCACTCTTTCAGAGAAGAATCATCCAGCTTGAACCTCCGCTGGTGCACCTTGAGGTCATTCCCTCTCATCCTGTTGCTATTATCTGGGAAAAAAGGGTGACCTATGCTTTACTACAGACTCCTCTCAGGGAGTTGTAAAGAGCCCGGCTGACATATTCCACATTTGCAGAGGGCTGTGTACCTGACGCTGGATATTTGGAAGCATTTTTTTTCTCAGAAAGAGTGATCAGGTACTGGCGCAGGCTGCCCCGGTGGCGTTCAAGAAGGGCACAGATGCACTGAAAGCCGCGGCGATGGTGGGTCGACGGCTGGAGTCGGTGATCCCAGAGGTCTTTTTCACAGTGACTCTACGGTTCTGCAGAGACGCCATTCCCTGTTTCCATCGGACTGTATCTGCATCCCCTGGCCGTCGTTCCTGCGGACACGGACGGTGCGGCCCGGCTCCGCGCACAAGCCGCGGAGCCTCCTCCGACACACACCCCACGGGCGCGCGCACGCGGCCTCGGTGCAGCACGGCCGGAGGGGCGGGTCGGAGCGCCTGCCCGTCATTCTCGGCTGCCCAATGAGGGCGGATGGCGGAAGCGCGTCGGGTGGGGCGGGGCGGTGTCGCGGCGTGACGTCGGTGGTGCCCATGGCAGAGGGCAGAGGACGGGGCGGAGGGGCGTGATGGCATCGTCGGTGGTGCGGGCCACGGTGCGCGCGGTCAGCAAGAGGAAGATCCAGGCCACCCGCGCCGCCCTCACCCTGGTCAGTGCCCCGGGCTTAGCGCCTTCGGCCCCCGTTTACACCCCGCGGCGGCGTTCTCGGAGTCGGGCCGGGCGGCGGGGCCTGCTCCCGCGGCGGGCGGCATCGGGGTGACAGCGGGCTCGGAGGCGGCGGGCGGGGCGAGGCCGAGCGCCGCTGGGCCTCCGGGGTGGAAAGGAGAACGAGGGTGCGGGCGCGGGCGGGGGTCGCCGCGCCCGGGGGACCGCGGGCAGCCGGCTGCGGAGCGGCGTCACGGGCTGCGAAGTGCCTGCGTGCCTACAGACAAACGTAAAGACGTTGTGTGCAGAAAGCGAGGAGCGCGCTGCGTGCACAGAGACTGTCTGAAAACGGAAAGCTAGCCCCAGGGGCTTACGTATCGGAGCTGCTGGCTGTGGGGAGGCGGCAGGCACTCTGCTCGGCCCTGCAGTCACGAGGCGCTGCTGAGGTCAGGCAGTGGGTCGGCAGCAGGTGGGCTGGCGATGTGACAGGTGCCGAAGGTGACCGTGCAAATGGGGTGCCGGGATGAAGTGTAAGGCATAACTGTGTTGCACAGTGTCAGAATAGGGCTGTGTGTAACACAGTTCTGTGAAATGCTTGTGCAAGCACTCTCTGCAAGTGAACAAGAAGTAACGATTAGAAATGATGTGTTTTTGTTTTTCAGACCCCGTCAGCCGTCCAGAAGATAAAACAACTTCTTAAAGACCAGCCTGAGCATGTAAGCATACTAGGGCTGTCGTGTTGTGCAGTTGACGGTCACAAAGCACTTCTCACTAACCTGGAAGTCTGAAATAAACACCCAGCAGTTTAGAGATGTTGGGGGCTTTTTTGGACAGAAATGTTTTGTAAGCATTGTTTCTCTATAGAATTAAATGCAGGAGGTAGCTTGCTGTAATGATGTGTCACTGTACAGTTACTTTTGAGATGATAAAATGTGAAACAAAGTTGAGCTTTATTTTTAAGTTATATTTTAATGAAGTCTTTTAATATGGCACAGTGGTGACTTCAGGTGACTTTAGGGCCTTCAACTGTTGCTTTAAGACATTAGTAATCAGTTTTTGTAGGAATGTTCATTATGAGGTATATAGCTGTAATGTTAGATTATTATCTGTTGGTCAAAACATTCATTTTTGTGAGTTGCCAGCATTTCACCAAATAACTGAGCTTTTCAGAGGAAAGCTCAGACTTGCTTTCTAACCACTATGAAAACAAACACTGTCTTTAATTTTGCTTTACAGCAAGTACTATTTCAAGAGAAATATTCTCTCTTAACTTCAGTACAGTGCCCATTGTTTCCTTTTCTTCCTGTACATCTGTAAATAACCAGGCTTTCTCTTCAAAACACAAATGATGGTAAGGAAGCCCTAAGCCTGCAGCTCGGCTGATCAGTCATCCTTGTGTTATAAATAGTGTTCCTGTTTTCCAGCATGCTGCATTGTATCTAGTGTTTCCTGTCGAGAGGTGCTTAGTCAGAGCAGATCACACAGTTTGTCTGAGGTCCCACATGGTGGCATTTGGTAATGTTCTGGTAGATTTTTATTGTAGCACAGGTAATACACAGGTATACAGTGTACTTATGTTTAACTAAGAAATAGTGGTTTGCTGAAAATGGAGTAGGTACTTTTGGAAGTTTATAGTACATGAATGGCTTTCTGATTCTATACCACTTTTTCTTAGCTCCTCACTTGTATGGCTGCTCTTTTTCTCTCAAACATAGAAGGTCATTATGAGAAGCAGTGAGTGATTACAAATACACTGACTGGGTTGGGTTTGACATGGATTAATGTAGTAAGCAAATGGATATATTCGATGTAACGTAGAGTTTGAGTTTTATGGACAAAAGGCAGCAGGAGTAATGAAGAAATCAATTCAAAGTTCTGAAAGAATTTACTTTGAAGTAGTTTTCTGATGGTCATTAGGGAAAGAGTGTAAAAATCTGGCAGGCCAAGGGCAGTTGCTCTCACAGTTTCATAATTAATTATAATAGTCTTAAAATAGTTCCTGAATTAGCATCTGAATGAAGTTTAAATTGAAGTCACAACATTCTGAAATTCTGCTGTCTTTATGAGACTGGGCACTCACAGAAGTAGTAGTTTATTATCACTTCAAAAGTTGTTTTTAAGAACTATTAGAGCTAGGTGCAAAGTAGCAAATATCTGATGCTTACCATTACCTTTATAATCAATTTTGTAAAAGGAAAAGAAATGCACTGAGGTAGTTCACTTCTGTTCTAGTTCTAGGCTTTGGGTATGGAAGAATAGATGTCGTCATTTTGTTATTCCGCCTACTTGTATTGCAAGGTGTTGAAGAACAGGTTTAAAAAAAGTCATGTATGTTTGTGTTTTGTTTTGTTTTTTTTTTCAGGTAGGTGTGAAAGTAGGTGTTCGTACAAGGGGATGCAATGGACTTTCTTATACGCTAGAATATACAAAGTCTAAAGGAGACTCTGATGAAGAAGTAGTTCAAGATGGTGAGTTTCTGCTGCAGTAGAGCAATCTTATGTGGTTAGAAAGGCGGGTTAGAAATTGTTTTGAGTACTAAACTATAACAAGAGGTCCTAGCTTCCTGATACTGGAATTGGTGCTGCATTGGTTTCCATATTGAAGTTATCAGTTAAAACCTGTAGCTCTGCAATCTGTAGTTCAGAGGCTGCTGCGCAGAATGACCAGTGTAGCCAATTGTTCATGCTTTTGGAGGTGGTTAATCCTAGGTATTTAGAGAAAAAAAAAAAATAGAAAAATGCATAAGGAAAGGGATACTTTATCAGCATGCCTAAAACCAGAGTTGGCAAAATAAGGATTTTGTTTTTGAAAAGTCTTCTCTAACGTGTCTTCTTCTTCACTGATCTGTAATTTGTTTCTAATCTGTTCATGCTTTTGATCTTCAAATTGTTTTGTAACAACCATTTCTACAATTTTAACTAAGCATTACTTAGAAAATTGTTTTTGTATGCTGATGGTTAAGCATGCTATCTGATAATTTTGTTGAGAATGCTGTAACAGGTGTATTGCTAAAATATTGAAAGTTCCATAGTTTTGTCCAGCACTCAGAAGACTTTCTTTGTGGTCCTGTAAAATAGGGATTTTTACAGAATCCATATAATGTTTGTTTTCGAGAGGTTTCTAAAATATTCCTCTGGTTTTTCTTTTGTTTTGTCTGAGAATTACTGAATTCTCTTGTATTTACGTCCAGAAAAATGAATCTGGCAGAAAAGTAGGAGATATGCATAAGAATGGGATATTGCAATTATTTCCTTCTAAATAGTATTCTGCTACGCAGAGACCATGTTATAGCTGTGTTATAGATATCTACAACCAACTAATACGTTTCATTCTCTTACAAAAAGAAGTAGTTGGGACAAATGACTAAACTGAACTGGAGCATGTGAGATCGAGACTGCCACGTAATTCTGCAATTGCCTCTTGATTTCAAACTTAACTTGCTTCTGGAGTTACCTCTGCTTGACTCAGAGCTGCTCTGGCTTTATGGAGCTGAAAAAACATTTTCTGGTTTGGATCTTAAGGAAGATAAAAGCAGTTCATGTTTCCCTCAGTCAAGAGAGAGACTTCAAGGTCCAAAAACGGACAGGATTTCAGATGTCTCTGCTTTCTGTTTTGTTTGGCTGCTTCTAGATTGATTTCCACTAAAGGCTTTGACTTTAATATAGCTCTGTACTCACCAGGCTGGTGGTTTTGGATTTCAGCCCAAATTTTTGGCTTTTAGGTAGCAAATGACCACTTCAGGGATCAGGTCTCTAAAATTTTGCATTAGGTTTAGCCTTCTGTGTTAATTGCTATCAAAATTTTCCCTGAAAATCTGTTTGGAGTAACTTCAACTTTTTTGCCTGCGGACTTGTGTTGTTATACCAGTGTGTTTTATTACAGTTTTCACTGTAATAGAGCAGCTTTCTGGCAGTTGCTTATATAACTTAACCAGTTCTCGCTGTTGTTCACTGATGTTATTTCTGTTATCTTCTGCTCTATAAACAGCTAAAGCAACCTACTCACAGCTTTGCATGCCTTAGAAAAGGGATCTCTTTCTGGTTCATAAGATGAACTACTACTAAGACTGTTATTCAGATTTTATAGTAGGATAGAAAGTGCAATGGAAGAGTGTCACAGGTTAAGGAAAAAGAAGCTGTGTTGATGGTCTTCAAATTTTGCTTCTAGAAAACTGAAAGTTAACAATTTCCCTTTCATTTGAAATACAACTCAAAGTAAACGATGAATGATTTTGCTCTGTGTAAATTTGTTTTTCTTTGTTGTCTTCAAGGGGTTAGAGTGTTTATTGAGAAGAAAGCACAGCTGACACTTCTAGGAACTGAAATGGACTATGTAGAAGATAAATTGTCCAGTGAGTTTGTCTTCAATAATCCAAACATTAAAGGAACATGTGGCTGTGGAGAAAGCTTTAACATCTGAAATCTCAGGACTACTTCTTTGACTTTAAACATCACAGGACACTTGCTTTTTGGCTTTCAGAAGTAGATCAGTTTTCTTCAGATCTAGGGTGTGTGAAGTCTGGACACCACTAAGAAAAATAAAATTGAGTCGTGTTGAGTATGTAAATTGTATGTTAAATTGCAGCACTGATGTATTTATGCTGTAACTTGTGATGAGTTGGAATCTATAAGGTAAGAACAGTAAGTGCTATCGTAATGTCACTGTGCTTTTACATGCCAAGGAAATAAAACACTGCTGTTCTTTTCCTTTGCAGTTTTCTTTGTTCACTCAGCTCATTCCCCATCCAAAACTGATGCAATTTGCAAAAGTATGTTGCCAGTATTCTGGCTTGATTTAGGGGAGGAAAAAAAAATAATCACCATTTATAGGTGTTTTATACACACGAGCATACAGTCTTCAGCTTATAAATTCACTGATTATGTAAATGCTTACTTTCCTTTCTTAGATTTCTGATACTTTCATGTTTTTATGTGTAGGTTTTCTGGAACTTACTTTCCTCTAAATCCAGGGAAGTCCAAAAAGAAGTTTGTATATCAGTGTAGTGGTAGGCTGTTGTAGTACTGCTTGTAGAAATAATTAAAAATGTGCTAACCAAATTTTAATCCCATTCCTTGCCTAGTTGAAGTCACAGCCTATGTTGTACTTAGTGATTTTCAAAAACATAAAATATATTCAGGTACTGGAATGCTGAAGCAAGATACAGCCCTTCTTCCTCATATTTCTGTTGTTTATCTTTTGTGGCTTAAATTGCAGAGGTGTTAAAACTCAAAATTTTGATTCTGTGTTCACAGAGTATGTTTGTATTCTCACCATGCTATCTGTCTACCAAAGCCATAAGCTGCTTTTTCTGCAAGAGGAATCTTCTAACTTTTTTTTTTAACCAGGTGTGCTACTCCTTCTGTTAGAACTCTGAACTCTGCTTGGTAACTATGTAGCACTAGAATTTTTCACTTTAGAAGCTTACAGTAACTTGTATGTAACAGCTAGCCAAGGGTTAATTTAGTTACAGGAAACTGTTTATCATTTAAAAAAAAAAAAAGCTTTTATTGAGTAATTGTTTTAAAAATAATTGTCAGTAATTAAAAAAAATATATATATCAGATTATTCCTAGTCAGATAATTCCCTTTTTGAAGCAGTGTTTTTCAAGCTGATGATCTTCCACTGGAAATCAGGCAGAAGTGTAAGCTTTTCTCCAGTCCTTCCCAAAGCTGATAGGAGAAAAGTACAGGTCCATCCTTTTATCTCTAATTTCCCTGACTGTCTAAAGAGGGCACTGTGCAGCTAAGTTATTCCCTTTGGTAGACAAGACAGTAACTTGTTAATCTGGGAAACTAACCTGAACACTCAGTCAAAAGACTGGGAATAGAAAGTGGAGGATTCTGGGGACTGGGTTCTTAGCATCATGTACGCTTGTCTGTGAACAACTTGTCAGTTGTGGCATGCTACAGATGTAGAATTGCAGCCAGTTAGATCTGGCATGAGAAAATATGTAGAGGCAAGAATAAAAATGAAAAACTTGAATCATAGGAATTGGAGGCCAGAATTTCCAGAGCTATGGTTTAATATTAGATGCTTGAATTTTAGTTGTATACTGTGTCATCTTCTGATATAAAAACTCTTTTTAATAGTCAACTATTACACACAGTTACTTTTCTCCTGAATTACTTTATGAAATAACTGGTGTAACACTGGTTAGGTGAATTTATAGTGCCGCAAATCCTTTCATCTTGCCAAACAAAGATCTGGTTAATGTGATAGTATGTCTAAAACTCCAAGCTAAGGGTGTTTCTTCAGATTACGTTTCTATGCTCCTTGCTAGCAGATATGACTATGAATGTAGTAACACTGGTGTTTGCTAAGAGTGCTTTGACTTTACTTGTTTCACTTGTTTTGGTGTGCATTTGGTTTTGGGGATGTTTTTGGACCTGTGCACACACATTAATCTTCTTCATGTGTTTCGTGTATATGCCTCGAATGGAAATTTGCTTTTTCATACTCTCATGGAATAATCTTTTAAAACGTGTTAATTTACTGACACATAACGCACAGTCTGTTAAAATAAGCTTCTGCTTATGTGCTATTTACTGTTATGTAGGCACATGGTTTTGTCAGTTGATACAATTTTGTGCAATACTGTATGTAGAGTTCTGAGTTACAATAATAAATATTTGCCTGTTGGTAAATGTGAAAGATTTCTATCTTGGTATGATTCTGTTTACAATAATGAATATGGGGTAGGGGACTTGGCAGAGAATTAGACTTGTATGCCTGGATTATGAAATAGATACAATATTAATTGCCTGAATTAATAATTCTAAGAGATATGAACAGTCTCCATTGCCTTCTCAGAATTTGTTGATACAACTGTATATTCACAGTGCTGGAGAGAAAGAACCAAGTCTTTTTTTACAGTCAGGGGCCTGGAAATGCAGCAGCTGTCTTTCTGTTGCAGAAACAGAACTTGGGGGGGAAAAAAAAAAAGGAAAACCCATAAAAAAAAAAAAAAAATTCAGGCA